AGCACGGCAGCTGCTCTGCGGTGGCGGCTTGCCCAAAGAAGGCTCTGGCGAAGGCGCAGGAGCCATGGCCCCGCTCTGCCTCAGCCCCTCTGCCCCCAGGCTCAGCAAGGCGGCCTCGACGTGGCCCACAACCCGGGGACGTGGCTCACACAGTTAAAAATAGATGCATGCGTGGAATGGGGGGGAAGAGCTGGCACATGCACAGTTGAAGAGAGCTGTTACAATTTGGCGTGTGCGCCGGCTCTCCGCTAGTCTCCAAAACAGAAAGAGTTTCAGGGAACGCCTACGCCGGCTCAGAGCTTTTGGACTTGCTCGGAGATCGTTTTCTCCGAACAAGTCCAAAAGCTCTGAGGTGGGCTGGGTAAATGACCATGGCGGGCCGTATCCAGCCCGCAGGCCGTAGTTTGAGGACCCATGAGTTACACCTTTATGTATCTGTTCATGCCGTTACCTTTGACTTCCCCCCATCTTGGCATCTCTACAACTATGCAAGTATAGGCTGTATGCTCCTTGGGGCAGGGATCTTGACTTCTCTGTTTACTGGATTTGATCCCAGGACTTACAAACAGCATTATGTCCAACCCAACACCAAGGTATCCCGGTTGACTCATACCCCCCAACCTGGCTGCCTTCCAGATGAGTTGCCCTGTAGTTCCCACCATCCTGCCTGGGGATGGTGGGAGTTATAATCCAATATGTCCAGAGTGTGTCATATTGGAAAAAGTGGCTTTAGAGCACTGTGTACCGCTGTTGGCACCAAACAGCAGCCTCAATCTGGCATCTTATTACCCAGGTCAGCGGCAAATATACTTTTGCTCGGCACTGAGAATCTCGGGAGAATGTTCCTGACAGGACACGGAGCAGCCCCAGAAATAGCAGCCAGCCAGACAACAACAAAGCCCATGCCAGGCTAAGAAAACAATCCCAGCGAAAGGGAGGCGGTGAAAGGCAGCTATGGGTGTGTGTTTGGGGGCAACAAGGGGGACCACCCCAGACTCCAGCTGTCTTTGTCTTGGGCAGAGGGAAAAACCAGAGGGGAGAAAACGGGTTACCCCAGGGATGAAATGCAGGACAGCTTTGCTAACCCCAGTCCTTTATGCAGTTGTAGCAAGAGGTCTTTCCAAAAGATCTCAGCTTTAAATATTTTTTTAAAATTTAGCTGAGATGGTGTTTACCAAAAAGAGAACTAAACCAACACTGTATGGTTCGTTTATTAAAAGCTGTGGAGACTTTACATTTGTTTTCTGGGAAAAAAGCTTTTTCTCCCTGTTTGCTCCATGGCAAAAGAAAAAGATACCCCATAGGTGAAGAGGCTCTCTCTCTGCAAATATTATATCGTATATTGTTTCAATTGGTGTTTATGTAGTAGTTATTGTTGACTCTTACTTATATTATTACCTTATTGTTATTGTCACTTATTGTTTTGATTCTGTCTGCCTTGTAATCCGGAGTCCTGCTGGACTATTGATTAGCAGAACATAAATTTAATAATGAATAAATATAAAATAAATAAAACAGCCACCTTTGTCTTTTTAAGGCAGGAAGAGCCCCAGGGACAGGGCCTAGAGCTGAGGGAGGGTAGACTAAGGAGGACAGACAGACTCCTGAAAGACTGGAATTAATTCCACTCCAAATTCATTAATGAATTCCCCAAATTCCCCCCTCTTACATTTTGGCAGAGAGTGACCAACCCGCAGCCTTCCAAATATTTAGAAGCTCCCACCAGCTTTAGCCAGGAAAGCTGAGGATGAGACACGACGGGTGCCGGAGGCCCACGCGTCGGATGGACCGCAAGTTGCCCAGCTCGGTGCTTTGGGGTTATGCCTTGCACGACCCTTAGACAGACCCGTGTCTCCCTTGGCAGTGTGCCTTCTTCAAGATCTGACATGCCTCCATGAGGCTTGCAAACACAGCAAGTTTAATCACTGCCGGTTTGCCATCACAGGGAGCACTGGATCCCCAAATTCAAATTCCAAAGCCAATGCAGCAAGCATCCTGCATGTGCTGGCATTATCTCAAATAATTCTGTGAACTCCCCCCACTTCCAGACGCTCGTGAAAGTTTTATTTCTTAAGATGATGCAATCTTGTATTCGTGGAAGGGACTTCAGCAGTCGCTGAAGCCAGCCCCATGCTCGGCGCAGGAATCTTGAAAGTGCAGCATCCCCAAAAGCAACAACAGGGGAGCCCCCCGACTGGAAAAGAAAAACTCGCCACTGAATCACAGAGGGGCCCGTTTCCTACTGAGCACACCCATGGTTTCACATAACTGTCCTCCACCTTCAGGAGTTTTCTGCGTTATGGGCCAGTCTGCATGAAATAGCCCATGGGTTCAATCCAGCCGTTCTCCGTCAGGGCACATGAGAGAGGGAGCTTTTGCCCAGTCAGCTCCTTCACGGACAGCTGAGGGTGTCATGCAAACCTGGATCAGTGGGTTGTTCAGGGGTAACTGCCCAGCAAAACGCCAGGGGTTAACCATGGGTTGTGTGTTCCCCGAACAACCCACGAGTCTGGGTTCACATGCTACGCTCAGTAACTCTGAAGGGACCAGTTATGGGTAGCTTAACCCATGGGTTATCATTAAGAATGAACCTGGTCTATTTGCATCGACTTCAAGAATCGAACTATTGAGCCAATACCTCCAGCAAACAGCCACCTAGCCTTGGATGGATCTTCAACACCCACCATGAAGGACTGGCTGAGGCAATAGGGTCTATTGTCAAACTCCGACTGTTAGGGAATTTCTATTCTTGTAGGTGTAGGGCAAACATCAAGGTGCAAATGAGGACCGCTTAATATTAAAGAACGGAGCTCCCCTGAGCACCTTCTGGGCTGAGGGATTTGTTTCCATGACTTACTACTGCTAAAGCACTGGACGTCAGAAACCCTCAGTGATCCGCCTCGGATCTCCAGAGATTTACTGGTACGGGCCAATCTTCCTGCCGTAGACCCCATCCAACTGTTGATCCAAGAACGGCTCCTCAGAGATATCCAGTCCTACCATCTGACATGACAGAGACAAAATCTGTTCCGTCTTCCGTGCCGCAGCCTGTCGGGTGTTTAAAAGCCGCTCTTGTATCTCTGTATCATTTTCTCTTTTCAGGCTGAGACAGCCAGCCAACTTTTCCGAGCATCCTCACAGGACTTCCTATTGGGCGAGTAACCGCTCGTGCTTATTATCGCTGCTATTCTTATTTATATCGTTATCGATAAAGCAATTGCAACTGTTCAGCGGTGCACAAACACCACAACTCTTTCAAATCTGCCCAGGCAATTTAGCTTCGGGCAGCATAGAATTGAAATAAGTAATAATCAACAAGAAAGCCAACGATGAAGACATCAGTGAGGGAGAGAAAGTAATGCCAGAACGAAGGCGAGGGTTTCCCGTTTCCTTTCTTACATCCTTTCTTGACTCCCCAGCGGATATTTAATTAGCGAGCCCTTGGGGACAAAGGGTTGCTTCATTTTTTTGCTTTATCCCCTTCCTACGTTAGCCGGGTCCTATAGTGGAAACGCTGCTTGCTCCAGCAGCTGAACAAAGGATTGGATGGACATGGGGAATGCTCTATGCACACCCGGGTTCCTGGATTTCTGCTCTACCTCCCTGCCCGCCACCTCCAGACACCTTCGAAAGAAAATGGACTGCTGAGTCAAGCCCGAGCTCGTTCCAAAATCCACACCCACTGCGGAGACATCCCTGCTCCCCCTCCTGCAGCTCTTGGACCGCTGTGGTCAACACCCACCCGCCTCCCCATGATCCAAACGCCGCTTGCACGTCCAAGCGAGAGGCCTCTGCCCCTCAAAGCTTGCAAAGATGAGCTTTGCACCACATGGGGATTTAGGCTGAGGCAACATTCCTCTAACACGTACCCAGCAACAAGTCTCAGCTTTGGAGCAGGAAGCAAAATATTCTGGAAAGGCGGCAGCCCCCTAAGCATGTGCAGAGTGCCTGCCCCTCACACCACCAGACAGTGATCGTGAGCGCTGCTCCCCAGACAGGTGTGCCTGACTACAACACTTCCCATCAGCTCAGACAGCAGATGGTACTCAGGAAGCGCTGCTTTGGGCGACGGGCTGAGAAGAACGCAACCCTGCTGTGCCTCGCACACTTGCTGCAGGGAATCCCAGGCAGGGACGCCCACTTTTTAAACATGCCACACAAGCCGTGAAGTGAATTATCTGGCAGGTATGCAGAAGCCCCCAGGTCACATGCTGGAAACTGCGGCTAACATTCCTCTCCGCGCACACGCAGGCATGCAAGCTACACAAGCTGCAGTTGCAAGTAATGCCACGGGCAGCCCACATCCTCAGGATCGGGGCAGGGAACCTGGGAGCCAACCCCCCAGGCGTCCTCAGACAGCCACCCCCCTTCCCTAAGACCACCAATTCTTTGGCGGGTTCTTGAGTGCCCTCTGTTCCCCTCACACCTAATAGGTCGAAATGTTTCTCCTAAGGTTTCGCTATCGACAGCCCTAGCTTTCAGGCTGAAATACACCGATATGTTGCGTGTGGGGGTGCTACTCACGCCTGGAATTTGGTCCCGCAGAGCTTCTCTGAAATTTAATTCAGCCGAGGAACATCCCACCGTTTCTCTGGATCAGTGGCGTGAGGCATTTTGGGGCAGCTGGTGACTTAATGGTGAAGCAGGGAGATGGGGTCGGAGGGTCTGCTTCCGCCCATCCACCCTCTCTTCATCAGCACCCCTTCAAAATGCAGCCCCTCGGCTCCTCAACTCAAGCCAGCTGGAAGTTACCCCCATTGCTTTGGAAAAGCATCCCAAGAATGATGTCACTGGGCAGAGTGGAGAAAGTCTTTCTCCTCAAGCTCAGAGGCACTCTTTCCCCTCACGCAAAGCCCCAGACCTGACAGAAGCGGGTCATGGTTCCAATAAGGGCCACACCACAGGACCGGAGGGGCTGCTGCCCCGTTTGCTTCCTGGACTTCCATCCGAGAAGAAAGCTCATCCTGGGAAAAGCTAACGCAGGGAGTGTCGCGACTTACTTCGGCCCTTCTCCTTGATGATCTGGATCAGGGCGGTGTAGTTGGTCTCGGAGAAGGGCACGGCCTCGATAGTCATGTTGTTGAACGTAAACAGAGCCACGTAGAGACCCTCGAGGGAGAAGTAACATGTGCGCTCGTCCCTGTCCTCATCCCAGAAGAGCAGCAGCGCCTGAGTGGTCCAGTTGAAGCGCTGGTGGAGCTGGACGCCGAAGCCGCCCAGCTTGCTGTGGCTCGGCCCGGCGCGGGTGGTCAGGGCGTATTCCCCCTGCTTGTCGTTGAAGGCCACAGCCTCCGCAGCGGCGGTCACCAGCGGCAGCCCCCAGTGCCCAGTGAAGCGGGCCACGGGGGCGGCGGTGTAGGCACACCCGGGCCCGAGGAAGACGTCCGGGCTGTAGAGCATCTTCAGGTCCACGGCCGACACCGGAGCCACGGTGTCGGAGCAGATGCCGTTGCGGTCCTCGCTGGTGCGGAAGACCTGCCGCACGGTGTAGCCCGGCAGGAGGTCCGGCCGGGCGTTAATCTTCCGGATGGCCAGGTCGATGGCGGGGCCCACGCGGGGCCGGGCCCAGGGGTACGTCGTGTTGTGCTCCGGCAGCACCACCGCGACGGTCAAGTTCGCGCCGGCCGCCGGGTCCAGCTGGGACAGGGCGGCCAGGAGCCACCACATGGCCAAGCCACCGGGGCACGGCCTTCCGAGGACTCGACAGCTGCTGCCGGCTCCCCGACGGTATGCGGCCCACATCCCCCAGAGCGAGCCCGGGAGCTCCCGCAGCCTCCTCGGGGTTCCCTCCCACCGGCACGCCGGAGGAGCCTCCGCGCTCCTCACCCCCAGCCCAGAACTCACTCCTCTGCCCCTCTTTGCCCCCTGCAGGGCACCAGCATGGAGGTGCGGCACCCAAGCCGGGGCACCCGCCGTGGGCCAGCTGCTCTGCTAGCTGCCCCGCATCCTGCTCCGAGCACCCGGGCCGCTCTCCCCTCAGCCCCTGCTCGCCATTCGCCGCTACAGCCCGCCGAGGTGGTCCATGCGACTGCTGGACCCAGCCTCCAGCCTGGCCGCCCCTTAGAACAAACCTCCGCGCCTTTTCTGGTGGGCTCCAGCAACTGGTGGAGTTTGCTGGGCGCTGGGGCACATCCGCCCCGTCGGGTCCAGCCCCCGGATCGGCACCCTCTGCTTGCCTAGCCTTGCCTTCCTTCCCGTAGCCCAGGCAGAGCCAGAGTGAGTGGAAGAGCAGAGCCGAAAGCTTTATCTGCACTGGGTTGAGTTGCTTTTCCTTCTCCTCATTCAATGACAAAAGGGTTGCTATCACCCACAAGGCGGCTTAACTCCTTCCTCCCCTCTTTCCAGGCAGAGCAGAAACTGTTAAGTGCCCACAGTAAGTCCCTGCCAGACCATCCCAAAAGCTGATCAAGGACTTCGAAGTGGAATAATTTCCTCCTCGAGTATCTATTGATTTCCAGTGGTTAGAGTGCTGGGCTGGGACCCAGAAGATCCAGATTCTAGTCCCCACTCAGCTGTGACGTTCCCTGGGGGACATTCAGCCAGTCACTGACTGTCAGCCCAACCTACTTCACAATGTTGTTGTGAGAATAAAATGGAAAGGAGAATTTTTCCTTTTCCTGGGTTTCTGCAGGAAAAAAGAAGGGATATGAATAGCAGTATTGTTAATAGTGATAGTTAATACGACCTTTTAATTCTCAGTTTATGTATTGTGTTTTCTTGCCATACTTTTTTAAATCCCACCTTTCTGCCAAAGAACTGGAGGTGATGTATGGAGCTTCCCAACCTTTCAAAAATATTCAGGCAACACCTTTGCAAGGTAGGTTAGGCCAAACGCTTCACCCAGCAGCTGATCGGCGAGGATTCAATCCTACAACTCCATTTTGATGGAAGGGTAGACAGAAAGGGTGGAAAGGAAATGGAAGGGGGAAATTTGCGTGAAGGCCATTATGTCGAAACTCACACATGGGTTAAGGTGGAGCAAGAGAAGTCCTAAGTTTGTGGCAAAGGCAGGATTTGAGGAAAGAAGCAGGATTTTGAGGAAAGAAGGGGAATTAGCACTGGGGAGAACTCCAGAGCTTTCAGCGGGAGACTGAATGCCCTAGAGAGGTTATGGGTTACAAAAGCATCGAGTTGGCTCTGCCGGGCAGTGGAGACTGGCACCCATCAACAGCTGTACCGCACCAACAACAGAGCCCTACGGACTGTATTTGGTTAATAACTCTACTACTGCCTATTCAGCTTTTTTAAGTTATTTCACTCCCCTTTGAGAAGCAGATCATCGCCAGGATAAACAGTTCCATGGGCCTAATTGTGCTAGTCTATGGTTAAAGCAGACCTCTGTTGAACAACGACCCAGGCCACCGTAGGAGAGCGGAAATTCTGTGCAGGTGAGCAAGTGGGCCATCGAAGAGGGGAATGGATCACATCACCCCTCCTTCAACAGCACAAATTGTAGAAGGAGTCTATGTCTCTGCTTTTTAACTAGGCATTAAAAAAGGTAGCAGCCACACAGACTCTGGATAATGGGTCCTGTCTTTCATGTCACCAGGGGAGCCTAGACTATCCCAGTAGTTTGGATAGGTGATTTTCAACAGATAATTGAGACAACTGTACACTAGATGCTGCATTTAGTTATTCATCCAGCACTTTGGGGAAATCTTTTTAATTAGCTATATAGCTCTTCTTCCACTTCCATTTTAAGAGTGCACAGGTATGAAGATCAACCTGAATTCATCATACAATTTGTACTCTCCCCAAAACTGAATATAATTAGAAGGGAAAATATAAATCTGTTAGCAACCCTTTGCTCAACGCTTTCCGTAAAATATACACATTACATACAAAACAAATACATTCCAAGATTGTTTCCAAGCTCGTTTTTTTTTCTCTCCCACCCCCTTCTGCTCTAAGGCTCCGTCCAAAACAGCTTACTAAAAAATTTTTTAAAAGCCCTGGAAGGGTTCCCCCTCCCACCACCAACTGTATGCCACATTCCAGATAAATGTAGTCACAACTAAAGCTGCACCCATGTGTGCTCAATAGGAGGGCAATCCCATGGAAATGAACAGCTGTTGAGCAAGCATACCTAAGTTTACATCCCAAATCCTCACAAAATGAGTAGAACCAAGCTAAGTGCACTTTCCTGGGAGTAAGCCTTGTTGAATATACTGGGGCTTATTGCACAGCAATCGTACACCATCAAGCTGAAAAATCAAGATACCGTGTAATGAGAAGAGAGAGTGAATTGTGGAAGGACCCTGGAGGTCATCCATCCCAACCCTCTGTTCAGGGCACGCACCCATCTCTGACAAATGGTCAGCCAGCCCCACCTGAACAGCTCCAGGGAAGGACAGTCCACACCCTCCCAAGGCAATACATTCAACTCTCAAACAGGCCTTCTCATGAGGAAGTTACAGTGAACAGTTTTACCTCCAAGTAATCTAGAAATATCTCCAATGGCACCTCCCTGGGGACAATCCTACAATTGTGCCTTTTTCCTCCTTTGCTGGCTTTCTCCCTGCAGTGATAAAGTCAGGCAGGGTGGGAGAAACTCCGGGGAGCCCCGTGCCTTCGTGTCCCATCCCCAAAATTGGGACTTGCTGTGCATCTGGCAACTTACATTGTCTGAAGAGCAATGGTGCCACCTAAAGTCAACACAAGAATTTCCCCTTCACTGGCTCACACACCCACTCCATGCTCTGAAGGAGAGCGAAGGAAGAAAAGCACTCCAGTTCAGTCTTGTTCAGGTCCTCGCTTCAAAGACAGGACCCCACAAAGTCGCGAGCAAACCGAGTTCAACACAATCCTGCCAGAGCACACGAAGCTACAACAGAAGGGGAAGGAAAAACGGACCGCAAACAGGATATTTTTCCCCCTTCCCCCAGCAATATCTTCTTTTACCTACCCACTTTTTGTTCGGGTTGTTTTCATGCTTTACATCCAGCCAGAAGACTCATTCGAAGGTACTCAGAAGCTTGTGTTTTACAATATAATATCTGATGCTAACAAAGGCCTTATTCAGCCGCCATGTCAAATCGTGCATGAGACAGGGCTTTCCTCCTATCCCCAAAGCATGTATGTTTCAATTCCAAAGCTTCCTTGGAGGAAGCATTAAAAAAAAGGTCCCCCTCTTCCAAAAAAAAAAAAAGAATTAAAAAGGAATCTCCCACACTTATTTCTCAGCAATATTGCTTTTGAGACAAGAGCAAGCCACTGTAGCCAATGAAAGTTTATCCCCTGTGAATTGGACAAGTCCCCTTTTAAAGGTAGCTGCTGGGAACGATTGAAGGCAAAAGGAGAAGGGGGTGGCAGAGGTTGCGGTGGCTGGATGGGGTCACTGTAGAGGTGGGTGTGGGCTTGGGTGGACTCCGAGGGATGGTGGAGGACAGGAGAGCCTGGAGGAATGCTGTCCATGGGGTTGTGATGGGTTGGGCACAACTTTGCAACTAAACAAACAAACAAACAGTCCATAGTCATCTCAGCTTGTGACAGTGGACTTCCGAGTTAAGCCCCTAGGAAGATTGTTGCTGCTGGACTTGACCGAAGGAGCAGCTTCTCTTCCCACAGTGGCCAACCAGCTACCTACAGAAAACCACAAGCAGGACATCTGTGCAAGAGGTGTACCCTCCGGCCCATGTTCCCCAGCCACTGCTGTGCATAGATATACTGCCTCTCATCCTGGAAGTAGCAAAGAGCCATCAGGTTAAGTAGCCGTTGATAGCTGCCTTCTCCATGAATCATGTAATTTCTTAAGCACATGTGCAGGAAGAAAAGACTGAGCCTTTTATCTCTTGGACCCTGATCAGAAAGGAGCTGATCACAAGCAGAGGTGAAGGACAGACTTAGAACAGCTTGTCCTCTCTCCTTGTTCTTCTCAAGACAATTGGCTTGCCTAGATAGCTTTCTTTTAAATTATACAATATTATACTGAGCACGCTGCCACTTCTGGTCTTTGTAGTTCCTCCACTTTGCTTCCATTCGGAAACATTTTCATAACAACTCATGGCTAAGTATCCCATCAAGAAGAGAATCCATGCTTAGTGCTGGGTTGTGAATCCAGCTTGTTTATGCATTCATTAGATATCGGTTTGGTCTGTGTCCTGCCTTTCCACTAGAAGACAGTACTTAAAGTTAATTGAAACTAATTAAAATAGTATATTAAAACGCAGTCAAAATGCAGCAGTTACCACTACCACCAGCAACAACACTACTGAGAATTAAAAACAGAACCCAAGTCAACAGACCTACTTACAGACCAAACACCTTTAAAAAAAAAGCAGTCTTTGCATGCTTACAGGATGGCAGCGAGGGTGTGAACGTAGGATCATTTGGAAGAGAACTCCACAGTCTGAGAACCACAAAAAATCCCGAGTCACTACCAGGCCTTCCTCTGAAAGCAGTGATCTTGAAACAAGGCCCCTTCCAGGAGATCTTAAGAACCAGGCAGGTTTGCACAATAGGCCATCCTTCGGGTAGTCTGGTCCCAAAGCATGTGGGGCTTTATTAAGAGGCCGGCGTGTCATAGCGATTTGGTTGATGGCCTGGCACTCCCGAGATCCATGAAGCTCACTGGGTGACTTTGGGCAACCATCGACTCTTGGGTTGGCCTACCTCTCAGGGATGTTGTGAAAATACCATGGAGAGAAAGAAGAGCAACGTTATGTAAGCCGTTTC